ATAAGTAACAAGCAGAGCAATGTTAATTACAAATTAAATCTGAGAACATTCTAATTCATTGTCAAGTGGATTAAAACCCTTTGTAAAACTAAAGAATAAAGGTAAACATTTGTTATTAGTGCTAGCAATCTTTACATTCAGAATTATTTTTTTATTTTTATTTTCTTGTACAGTTTTTTGGCCTGAAGGACTTATTTCCTTGTCTTTAGCCTAGGGGGACTGAATTAGGGTCCTTCAGAAGTAAAAAAAAGCTGTCAGATCCTCTGGAATTGGAGTTAACAGATGGATGTTAGTCCAGTGGGTGCTGGAAACCAAACTCAGGTCCTCTGCAAGAGCAGCCAGTGCTCTCCTCTGAGCTATCTCTCCAGCTTTCAGTCACTCTTTTCCTAATGGGTATGAGTTCTCAGTCGTCTGTGGCAGAGTTCTTTTGAAAACCACACATTATTTTTTGGTCTCTTATCAGTAGAAGCTTTATTTCCTCACAAAACAAATGTCCATATTTACCTTGATTCTTAGAAACCAACCCCCCCCAAAAAAAAAACCCAGAATGAAGAGGTTGTTCATCTGAGATAGATTTGCTTGCTTTCATTTGTTTAGTGTAGAAAGGATTTCTTAGCTGTCTAGGAGAGATAAAATTTAAGTGCCTTTCAAATCATGAAGGGATTCAACTATAGAGATAGTTCTTATAGAGCTTTCTAGTGAGGCAGAATAGGACTTAATTCAGCATGTTCTTTTCAAAACAAGCTAATGCTATCCAAGTTAAGATGTCAGTATAGCTGGGCGTGCTAGTACATTCCTTTAATCCCAGCAGAGGCAGGCGGATCTCTGAGTTTGAGGCTAGACTGGTCTACATAGTGAGTTCCAACACAGGGATACTTAGTGAGACCCTGTCTCAAAAAAAATAAAATAAAATAAAACCAACCAAAAGTAGAACTTTTGAAGTTATTGGATGTCTGCATCTGTGGCTAGTAAAAATTCTGTTGCTGCTGTTATGTTCTGCATAAATGCTATCATTGTATTTAGGCCCTCACCAATGGCAAATGTCATTGATGATGACTGATGACCGAAGGAGTCACACTGGTATCAGCTGTCTAAATGTGAGGAAGCAGACAAGAGCAGTATGAAAAAGGCACTGCTTTTCTATTGCTCAAACACACACATAGGCGGTGTGCTTGAGAACTAACTCTTGAATTCTGGCTCCTTTAGAAAATGCATTTTCTTTCTTTTTTTAAAAATATTTTATTTATTATTTTATGTGTATGAATGTTATGCCTGCATGTAAGTAAGTACACTCGTGTGGTGCAATGCTCTTGGAGGACAGAAGAGGCTGTCAGATCCCCTGGAACTGGAGCCATGGACAGTTAGTTGTTAGCTACCATGTGGGTGCTAGGATTCAAACCTGGGTCTTCTGTAAGAACAGTCAGTGTTCTTAACTGCTGAGCCATCTCTCCAGCCCCAGAAAATGCATTTTCTCAGTTACCAGGTTTAACTCTCCAACTCCACCCCAAAATGTTTTTAAATATTTAAGGAGATGCTGAAATGGTGCTTATAAGTTACTGGGTACAATTTCTTAATTAAACCTAAATATTTATGATAGGATTTCTATAGGTTCTGGAACCTGGTTAGGAACAATTAATTTTTTAAGACTCTCAGGTCCTTTAAATGCTGAACATACAGTTAATTGAAAACAGTAAATTTGTTTTACTCACCAAAATTTCCCCCTTATAGTGTTAGCCCTAATATCTTTGGTGACTATATTAAAAACAAGAAACAAAAAACAAAAAAATCCCAACAAAATGTCATAGATTGTTCAAGGGTGAAGGATCACCTGTTTTGAGGGTTTAAAAATGACTTTCTAGCTGGGAGTGGCGATACATGCCTTTGATCCAGCACTCTGGAGCAGAGGTGGCCAGATCTCACAGAGATCAGGTCTCCATAATGAGTTCTAGGTCAGCTGTGGCTACTGGAAGACCCTGTCTCAAAAAAAGGGGTGGGGCGTTGGAGAGATGGTTCAGTGGTTAAGAACACTGGCTGCTCTTACGTAGGACCTGGGTTTGATTCCTAGCACCTACATGATGGCTAACAACCATCCATAACTCTACTTCCAGGGGAATCCAATGCTGCTGTTTCACATCCATGGACATTGCACAACACGGGTGCACTTGCATACATGCAGGCAGTACACTCATACACATAAAATAAAAAAATAATAAATAATTTTCCAACTTCCAAAGAGGAACTCTATTAACTCTCCTATGATATTAAAAAGCTTTTCTTTTTTGTATATATGTGAGTGCTCATGCATGCGTGTGTGTGTGTGTGTGTGTGTGTGTGTGCCCGTGTGTGTGTGTGTGCGTGTGAAGGCCAGAGGACCATGTCCTCAGGAGCCATTCACTTTGTTTTTTGAGGCAGGGTCACTCAGTGGCCTGGAGCTCACTGAATTGCCTCAATGGCTAATCAGTGAACCCCAAAGATCTACCTGTCTCCATCTCTCTAGTACTGGAATTTTAAGTGTGAGACGACACCATGCACAACTTTTTTCTGTCAGTTCATAGAATCAAGCTTAGGTTCTCATGCTTTATAGAAGCATTTTATCTACTGAATGCTCTCTGCAGTCCATAATGTATTTTTTTTTGAAAGTTATGAACTACCAATTTCTCATTTTTAACAAATTCAGTAAATAGTTTTGATTTGAGTACCTAATAAGTGCAGCAGATACTCCACGTGGTATTGAGGATATAGCTGTGATAAAGCCTCTCTATGGAGTTGGGGAGGAGTCAGGAAAGTGCAGGATGGAGAGCATCAGGCCACAAAGAAGGGTAAAGATATCCCCAATGGTGATCTCTTTGAGTCTTCCTTTGGAGGAAATCCTGGAAGCTTGGCCAGAGGACAGAGGCCATAGTTCAAATCAAGAAAGTATGCTATAGCAGTCAGGTTACATTCATGTTGAAAATGCAATTTAGTTTTAGCAAAACATATTCCAGTTAATTTTATTATTTAAAAAAATTGTTTATTTTTATGTGTGTTTTACCTGTATGTGTGCTAGTGCACCCATGTTGTGCAGTGCCTGGGGAGGCCAGAAGAAAGTGTCAGATCCCCTGGAACTAGGGTTATGGATGGTTATGTACTGCCATGTGCATGTTGGGAACCAAACCCAGGCCCTTTGTAAAAATAGCCATCTTGGGGGCTAGAGAGATGGCTCAGTTGTTAAGAGCACTGACTGCTCTTGCAGAGGACCTGGGTTCAATTCCCAGCACCCACATGGTGGCTATGAACCATCCTTAACTCCAGTTCCAGGGGAATCTGAAGCCCTCTTCTGTCCTCCACGGCATTGCAAGACATGGGTGCACTCACATACATGCAGGCAATACACACTCATACACATAAAATAAAAATAATAAATTAAAAATAGCCATCTCTCCAGCCCCTCCAGTCAATTTAAAATAGGATGTTGTTTTAGAAATAAAATTTTATTTCCATTAATACTTAATTTTTGTTTTGTAGTTGTATAAGTGCTGTAGGGAATAAGGATTTTTAAAACTAATTTATGTACGTTTAAGAACATTGTAAGAATTATATAAGCTGGTTAGAAATCACAGTATTTTCTTTTCTTTTTTTTTTTTTCTTTCCTTTTGTTTTTTGAGTCAAGCATTCTGCATCCCTTACTGGCCTGGAACTAACTATGTAGACAAGTTAGACAAGACTGGTTTGGAATTCATAGAAATCTGCCTGCCTCTGCCTCCTAAGCACTGTGATCAAAGGCCACTACACCTTGCCATATTGTTTCTTTAAAACACCAGCTACTGTTGTTTCTCATATTAGAACTTAATCTGAAATTTTTGTCATTGTATTTTGAGACAGGGTCTCTAGCCCTAGCTGGCCTAGAACTTGCTATGTAGACCGGGCTGACCTGGATGAGAGCTGCCTGATTAAAGGCATGGGCTACCATACCCTGCTGGACAGATAGCTTGTGTAAAAACCAAAATATTTAGGGCTGGAGACAGTGGTTAAAAGCACTTGGTACTCTTTCAGAGGACCAGGTTCAGTTCCCAGCAGCCATATGGCAGCTAACAATTGTTGGTAACTCCAGTTTCAGAGGATCTAACATCCTCTTCTGGCTTCCCTGCATTGCATGCATGTGGTGCAACTTGCATGCAGGCAAAACACATGAACTAAAAATGATGAATGGATAAAAATTTTAAAAATCAACAAAATATTTAGAAGGGAGGTCTAGTTTTGCTTGAAATATCAGCTCTGACACCTAACTCAGTAGACAGTGAGATCTGCATCTTCACATCCTTCTTTCAGTCCTGGTGGTTGCTTCTGGTGTATATTGCTATTCTAATGCTTGTGGAAGCTTCCTAATGGTAGTATATTTAGGTGCTTTAAAGTATTGCAGGAGTTACCTAAGCAATGCCTTTTCAGATTGCTAAGCATTGTTATGTTTGAAATTTTGTAGTCGTACAGGATAACTTTGCTACACCAGATTTGCCTTTGCTGACATGTTTGACACAAGACCAGGAGTTTGAGCCTGATTCCTTATTTCAACAACGTGAACTAGAATTTGCACCTTTGAGGTAGGATTATTTATTTGCCGTCTAACCTTTCTACTCTTACTGTAAATTGTTATTAGCGTAAATGGCTTCAGGCTAACATGAAATTTGGGAGTAGGAGTTCCATATTCTTAGCAAATAGCACACATATGTAACAAGGCCCTAAATGAAGCATATTAATTTGGTACAGTAATGTACATACAGAGATGTACCAGGTGACTGTAGTTCATTTAAAAGAAGAGAGGCAGAGGCAGGTGGATCTCTGTGAGTTCGAGGCCAGCCTGGTCTACATAGCTAGTTCTAGGCCAGCTGGGGCTACAAGGGGGACCCTGCCTCAAAAAGACCCCCCCCGAAATTCTAATTTAGTTTAGCACCCAGGAATATTTAGTTATGAGGCACACTGGTTTTCCTTATGAACCTTTCTGTAGGCCACTATCATCTGTCCTTCCCTCTCACCTTCATCCTACAAAAAAGCGTTTCTAGGACACTAATGTATCTGCACTCTCATTTTGCTCAGTTTTTGAATCAGTCTAGTTAACTCTCTTTATACTACAGGTAGGTAGGAAATAAACAATGTTTTTATAATAAATATTCTTAGCTGATACATTTTAGAATAATCACAATGGGAGAAAAGTCAAATTCTTCAAAAACATATTTGGAATTGTCCAAGGCTCTGTTTTCTTTTAGAACGGAAGGAAAACTAGGTAAACTGAAAACTCTAGATATTTAGAAAATAAAATGCAGCATCTACCATTGTGCTGTACACAATTACCAAGTGCCTGTACACATTAGATTGTCAGCCAGTGATTAAGTTATGTTGTATTTTGGGAGTAGATCACTTCTTGAGTGTTTTCATAAGTATAATAAATGGACCATAAATAAAGGGATGCAAGTTAGAAGAGTATTAAATTGTAGTGGGTGATGAGCATTTGAAATGGTAAACCTGGTGCTGGAGAGATGACTCAGCAGTTAAGAGCATTTGCTAATCTTACAGAGGACCTGGGTTCAATTCCCAGCACCCACGTTATGATGCAAAACCACCTGCAATTCCAGCTTCAGGAGATCCAACATCCTCTTAGGTCTTCTGCAGGCGCTCTGTGCACATGGTACACAACAAAATGCAGAAAAGACACCTATACACATTAAATAAATAAATGAAATAGTAGACCTTATTAAAAGGCTATTTTGAATGTTACTTTGAAATAGATTTTTTGGGGGGTAATACGGAAATCAGATTCTGTCTGTTTTAGAAGACTGAGATACTATCAGGATGATAGTTTACTGTCTAGTTGCAAAATTTTATTTATTCAATCTTTAAGCTCCTTGCAGGAATTTAAAATTAGAACTTTGTTTGTTTTGTCTCCTTGTAGCCCCAGATGGCCTAGTACTTGCTATGTAGACCAGGTCAGGTTGACTTCAATCCCTTTGACATCCCTTGTCTCCGCTTTCTGAGTGCTGGAATTGGAGGTATGCATCACTATACCCCAAAGAACTTTTTAAAAAAACATAGTGGTGCATGCCTTTAATCCCAGAACTTGGGAGGCAGAGGCAAGTGGATCTCTGTGAATTCAAGGCCAGCCTGGTCTACATAGTGAGTTCCAGGACAGCTGGGAGACCCTGTCTCAAAAAGACCAAAAAAACCCAAAAACCAAAAAACAAACCCAAAAAAACATACTTTCAAATAAACCTGATTTCAGTGACATAATCAGGTTTGTATTTTTATGTTAGTGTTTAAAAATAAGTGTTAAAGAGCTACTTATTTCTTTGTAACTCTGTATTTTCAGAGGAATTCCTGATAAGCCTGAAGGCACTGAATGGCTTTCTTGACCATCAGAAGTTAGTGAAGCTTTATTCCAAGCCACCTCAGAAACATCTTCCGATTTAGTTAACAGTTGCCTTAGTATATCTCAGCACCCGCTTAGAGGTAGCACAACTTTTGGGTCTCAGCGTTCTCTTTTCCCTCCTGAACAAGAGAATAACGGGGAGAATGTGCTGTCTAATGTGCTGTCTAATCACTATAATGCTCTGTATTCATACATGTCATGGCAGGCAAGAAAGGATACTCAGCAGCCAGAAGACAAGTTGACTGATAAAAACCAAGTTTCTACTTCAACTTTCTCTGATGTTAGTGATGAAAGCATAACCACTAAAAGAGATGATGGCTTTGATGCGTCTTGTTCTCAGGTGCAGTATTGGAAACGGAGCTTCACAACAGGCAGAAACATGTCTAGCCAATAAAGACCATGGTTCTTTTCCATGTGAAATTGCTCCTCCTTGTCCCAATAAGATGTCATATTCTTTCTTGAAATGCATGTTGGAAAGAGATAAAGGGGCTCTCGTGACCTCTGAGAGCCATCCCGAAAATGTTTGTTTAAGGGCTCCAGCTGAGGATGAGATGAATCAAAAGATAGGTTCTTTGGAGGGCTATGAAAGAAATGAAGATCTGCAGAAAGAATTATGTCAATATTTTAAACAAAAGGAGTCTAGAAGTAATTTGGTATCTTCAGAACTGCATTCCACATCTCCAGAGATAACGTATATCAGGACTGTTGTAGTTCCTGATGATTGTGAGCAGGTTTCAGGAGCACACATACTCTCAAGCAGACTTATATCTCTAAGATGGAGGCTGTTGGAGGTCCTCCTCGAACAGTTAAATCCAACTTGGATGAGACATCACAACAACTGTATTTTCAAGAGGACAGAAACCAAAAGGCAGCTTCTATTTTTGGTGAGAAAAATGTTGATGCTATTGAAAATGTAGCCTTTGAGGCAGTTATTGCCGCAATTGAGCCTTCCAAGCAAGAGAGTCCTGTAAGTGAAGTCCAAACTGACATCAATAAATCTTTAGCAGATGAAAGTCAAGAGAGAGAACCCCCAAATCCAAATATTTCCCCATTAAATTATAACAATGAAAACTCTTTCATTGATAAGCTTAAGCATCCAAAATACCAATCTACTCCTGGGGGCTTGAACCAACAGCTTTAAAACCAGTGTTGCATAAAGAAGATGATGGTGCTGGCTGGCTCCCTATATTCATATCCAAATTTAAAATCGCCCCCTAATGCTGCTCAGAACATGCTCAGACAGCCATTTTCTTTTATTCCAGAGCATAAGTCATCTCCTTTAAGTGAAAAAGCTTACAACCAGGCTGTTGGTCTTGGGGAAACACAGTCACCTTTATTTCCGTATGACATATGCAGTCTTGACCTTACAGAGAAGGGAAGATCTTCAAACATTATTTATCCAATGAAAGTATCAACTTCAGATTCTTGGGTTACGAGATTTAAAGCAGCAGACCTTTGAAGAAGTTGCAGATTCCTCAGACTATTATTTGAGTAAGGATGTAAACTGTAGTAACCCATTGAGGATCCCACCTGAAGTTATAGGAAGCAGCTTTTCAGCAAACTTGTTGGCATGGGATACAGGGTGCACTTCCTTGGTTTGGGGGCTGAGTCCAGTGTTACTGTATATACAGTTATGCACAATGACTCCTGTTTTGTAGAGGGCCTGCAGGGGAAGGCTGAGCCTGACATCATTACTCTGAATGGTGATACTGAGTACTCCAGCCTATATGGAAATGCTGTTGCACATAGTAAAAGAGTCACTGAACCACAAAAACAAGTAAGACACAGCAAAGTAGTTGTAAATAGAGTCTTTCTCGGTGCTGATTCGGAAATGGTATTTGTTTTCGTTTACTTTTTACTGTTTCCAGACATGTGGCCTACATGGCTTAACTGGTGAGTACTGTCATCTAAGGAGAGCAATTTTGAAAAGCTTTAAGTTATTCTATTTGCCTTTTTTTTAATTTAAAAAAATTATTTTTATTTTATGTATGTGCGTGTATTGTCTGCATGTAGGTAAGTGCACCCATGTCGTGCAATGCCCGTGGAGGTCAGAAGAGGCTGTCGGATCCCCTGGAACTGGAGTTATGGACAGTTGTTAGCTGTCATGTGGGTGCTGGGATTCGAACTTGGGTCTTCTACAAGAACAACCAGTGTTCTTAACTGCTGAGTCATTTCTCCAGCCCCTCTGTTTGCCTTTTATGGATAGACAAGGGAATATTTTTGTTGAAAAACATAGTAATGAAAGTATGTTTTTGATTTTTAGAGACAGGGTTTCCCTGTAGCCCCAGCTGACCTGTAACTTGCAATGTTGACAGAGACCCACCTGCCTCTGTCTTCTGAGTGCTGGGATTAAAGGTGTGTGCCACCATGCCTGCCCACATTTATCTTTTGATAACAACTCTGACTTACAACTCAGTCTTCATATGATCTACTAGTGTGCTTGACAGAAAGGTTTGTTTCATAGACCATGAGATTTCACATGTTTTGTGTATCTTAGAAAAGGACATCTTCTGTAGCTTCCAGGCCTTTCGTCTTGAGACATCCTGACCCTTCCATGTTGAGCCAGCAAGAATCTTTGGAACAGGTTAAAAATAGAAAAACTCAGGGAGACATGCAATTGTGTTTTCCCTTCTGGTCTTAGTGTGCCAGCCTTGAAAGATTCAACTAATTCTGTTTAGAAACTCCTGAAAATTTTGATTTTAGGAATTTAAAAAAACTTTAGGAATCATTGTCTTCCTGGGAATGATACTGCAGTGCTTAATGTTCAAACGAGTCAGTATTCTGAAGGGAGCTTAGTGCTCCTTCTCAAATGAGCAGCATATCATATATATACCCCTTCCCCTATGTTCATACGATCATGTCTGTACTAAAATGGTGACTCTGGTGAGTTGTAAAAGTTTTTTTTTTTTTTACTAGGCTTCATTTGCCTGAGTCTTTGAATCTTTTGGCTTTAAGTTTCCTCAGGTCCCAGTGTCCGCTTTTGTTTGTGTGATGCTCTCAGCTCCAAGCGGGGTCTCATTTACTTGTAATGTGTCTTTTGTGTACTGTTCATCATTAAAATAGGTAGAAAATATACATCATATACTTAATTTTGCTTTTCTTATTTTCCCATGCATAAAACTGGTATATCATTGTGAACCAAACCTGTAGTTTGGGTTATAGCTACATTTAGATCTTTAGGTTTAGATAGTTAATAGGAGAAGATGAGCAAAGATAGCATGATGAATTTTTCCTTTTATTTATAGTTTGTTGAACATATAAGAAGATTTCTTAAAAAACCATTAGATTAATGTTTTCTTCAGTATTTTAAAGTAGGCATTATTCTAATTTTCAGTCTGATGAGAGTGAGGATGGAGTAGCTGATACCTTAAGAGGTTCACAGCTATTCACTGAGTCCATCCTGTCAAGGCTTCACAGGGCACAGCAGTTTAGTCTATCCTGCCATGGAGGTTTGTTAGGGATGGTTTTCACCCACATTTTACGATGAATATTTAGAGGATCATGTGCCGCAAGCCACGACTCCATCCAGCAGAGCCAAGGAAAGATGACACAGACACCAAGGTGAGGTTCAGGCTTCTTCTTCTTTATTACGCACTTCAGTCCTTATATAGTTTGTTCCCAACAGCCCTCCTCCCAGCCAGGACCAATCAGGGCACACACACACACACGCAGCAGGCAGGCAGAGTGGCAGCTCATTGGGCCACGTAGCAGGGTCATGCTTGATGATGTCTCTGATCAGGCAGCCTCCACATGATCGGGCTCCTCGCTTGCGCGAGTTGGAGTAAACAAGCGAGGGTCACAAGACTTGGCAGCCAGCCAAGGCGCCGTCTTTGGCTGACTCGCCTGCGCTCGCTTCCCACATCTCCCCCTTTTTGTTTTATTAGAAAGGTTAAAGGACCTTGCCTGTCTTAGGTTGCCCCCTTCCATGTAACATCCTTACCCGTCATCAACTGTTCAGCAGCTTGGCTGGAAGTCTGTCTTAGGTTGGTATGTACGTGAGGGAGTCTTGCCCATCTTTGACTACCGGTCCAGCATGGTTAACCATACAGCGGGTGATCCTCCTGCCTCGAGCGCTGCCATGGCCTGAACCAACATCTGTTGATTCGCTGCTGCATGTTGCCTGGTACACCTGATATACCATAACATCCCTCCACACGCTACAACGAGGAGGAATCCCCAGAGTCCCATGCCTCCCCATTCTTTCAGGAAGCTGAAGGTAGTTCTCATAATCTAGACAGTCTCGACCCGTGTGTTGTTCACAACGATCACAAGCAAAGTTGAGAGAGGAGAACGGTGGGTACCAGGCGGTGGAAAGAGTCCATAAGAAACACGAACAGAGTCCAAAAATCCAGTCCAAAAAAAAAAAAACTGGGAACACAGGATGCGATGATGGATGGTGCAGTGAGGACACAGGTGGCATAGAGTCAGGAGATGTTGCAAAGCAGAAGTATCATTATTAGAAGTATTGGAAACTAGGAAAAAGAAGGGTGGGACCACACATACAGGAGTAGGTGCAAGCGGTATAGGTGAGGGCTTGGAGCAATTTACTCTAGTATCACTTTCAAAAGTCCCGGTTATTACTGGAGAAGGCCCCTTCCATTCTCCTGTAAGGACATCCTTCCAAAGGACTGAAACTTGGGAAACCAATTGCGGCGCAGAATAGCGGTCTGCGGCCAAGCTCCCGGAAGTATCCAAATTCAAAAATCTTCCTTATGGAGCTGATCGCCAACGATGGCCTCTGCGTCCCCCTTCCTCCTTATCTAAGTCTTCCTCCTCATAAAGCTCCTCCTCCCCTTCCTGCCCCTGCGGGAGACTTTGTTGGTCTCGGTTAGAGAGCTCCTCCTTTATTTCCTCTAAGGCTTGAGCTCTCTGATCAATATCTCTCTTGTACTTCCCTGTCTTGTCTGTAATGCATGTCCTCACCAGCGTCCATACTGCTAGAGTTCCCGCAGGGAGGCGGCCC